CCATTGCCAGGACTCCAATGACGTCTTTACAAAAGATCTCGAGGCCACTGCCGCTTCAACCTTCGAGGAGGATTGTAGGGATGACTGGAACTAGATAAGGATTGTGCTAAGGGATTAGGATGATAGGTTAGGTTCTGATGAAAATTTTAAAATCGGGATGGAATAACGTCAAGGACATAAGGGATGTTAAGGTCATGATGTAAGGTTTTGTTTGTAACATAGTAAGGAGCATTGACTATTATACGGAGGATTTTAGACTGGAAGGATTGCATGCGTTTGATGTTCGATAATTTACTTGTCCCCCACAGTTCAAGTCCGTAGGTCCAGATGGGTTTCAGTATGGTCTTGTATATTAATAGTTTGTTTTCAATTGAGAGATTAGATTTTCTGTTAAGTAGTCTGTATAACTGGCCAAGTCGTCGGTTAAGCTCTTGTCTTTTAAGTCTGGTATGTGGGTTCCATGTTAGTCTTTTTAAAATAATAATTAAAATACGTTCCAGGTCTGTTTTATTGTCTCGATGTTAATTTTGGATTTTATTTTTAAATAACGCTACTTATTGAAATTTTATTAATTGCTATATACGATATCATGCTTGCGCGTCAATATTGGATATTCCCAATAATAACATAGCTATTTATCTACGGGTTATCTGCCGGGTTAGTGATATCAGTAAGGATAAATCATGCAGAGGCCGGGCAGTAGTATCATTTGCGGGCGTTCTGTTGGTGAGCAATATTCATTTATTTATTAATCAATTTATTTATTATAAATAAATGTGAGGAACATTCAGTCAAGTCAATGCCTTTCTATATTAGCTGTATAGTCTGATTCAATATAACATTGTATTGCATTATTTTTTATTTGTTTCATATCACATATTTAAGGGTTTTGGTAGTGCGAAAAACGACTATCAAATTCGTTTCTCCCTAAAATATATTTACTCCCACCTTGCTATATTGTTTGGTCAAAATTTTGCCTATAATATAACTATACGCCAAATATTATATTAACCTTAAAAACCTGTCTGGTATCTAGAGTAAATAATTTTTTAGAGGAAAACAAAGTTCATATTCGTTTTTCGCACCTCGAAAAACCTTCCGATACAAATGCTTATGGTAATCAGAAAATTCTACAAACTTGTCTTAAGATTAGAACGGCTTTTCCACATGAATAGTGATTTATGAATTTAAAATTTCACAAATCGTGTCTTCTCCTTTTAAGTTTCAATACTTCATAAACTATTTCTCTCATTCTTATTTTAATTTTGCTCTAATAATTATTGTGGTAACGTACGTAAGAGTTTTCAACTTGATAAATCAAGAAAAAAAATCAAAGAAATTAATATAAGAAGGAATTGGTTGGGGTTGCGGTCAAATAATTTGTTTGTACCTTCTATATATATAATACTTGATATTTTAACTACACTGTCACCCAATATATCCCTAATGTCATCTTATTATTTCTTTATCGGATTACTGTTTCTTATTTAATATCTACTTATAATTCATTTATTTTATTTTCACCATGTAAATTTTATATTTTATATCTTTTGTAGCTCTGAAATTAAAAAAAATAATAAAAAAAATGAGTATTTATTTGACCGCACCCACCGACAGAAATTGATCAACAGAAATTAATAGATTAGTACCATTAGAAAATAAATATTTTATTTTTAGAAACTGCTTTAGTATGGCTTATAACTACGGGCATTAAAAAATATAAATTAACAGATGATTTAGGTGGTAATTTAACTTTGATTAAAACCCTTATTAAATATAGAATGAAGTTACTATATAATGAGAATTTGCATCACCTAAAGTCAGTAACATTCCTTTTCACTTTTCGCTGAAGACATATTTTCCTTAGGACCTAGGGCCATTAGAAAATGTTATTATTATTATTTCTTTTTAAATCTCACTAAGACCTATTTGGACTTACGGAGTTGAGCTCTGGGGCTCCTCTAAGCCATCGAATTCCTCTCGTATCCAATCCTTACAATCCAAAATCCTTCGTAAAATCCTCACAGCTCCTTACTTTGTCACAAACAAAATCATCCATAACCACCTTAATTTTCCTTATGTTTCTGACCTGGCCCAATCCAGATACCTATCCTTCCATAGCAAACTTCAGAACCATCCTAACCCTCTCGTTTCTAACCTTGCTTCCTTCTCGATCCCTGACAACCCTCAGAGGCGTCTGAAAAGAAGATGGCCTCGAGATCTTCTTTTGTAAATACATTTTTAGAGTGCTACCAGTGGGTAGTTTCTCAACAAGTGATGTAATGTTGTTATATTCTTTCGTTCACATTTACTGAACGTATTTTTACTTGTAATACAGTTGTAAATATCATCAACAAAAAAAAAAAAAAAAAAAAAAAAAAAAAAATCTCACTATTCTGAAATACTTCCAGTTTATGCTACGATTTTGAATTCAGAAATCCATGCTGATGTATGTTTAGGGTGTGGACAGTGATTTATTCGATAGTTTTGAATTTTTAAATTTAAAATGTAAATATTTAGTCCGCCCTCTATTTACAAATGGTAGATACCCATCATTAAAACCCGTAAAAGTTAAAGTCTACGACGTCATGATTCGAAACACGTAGAAAACATCCTCGAAATGAAAAAATAGGGATGGGCAATGGTCGATAGTTTTCCATTATCGATTGTTTGATAAAAATTATCGATAGTTTAGTAACTACTCGAGGACGTAATAATACAGGCAAACTTAAAGGAGCTTTATTTTGCCTGTATTATTTAGTTATCTACTACTAATTGCTGCATAAGCTTAATAATAATTAACATTTATATTGAATATATTCTTAAAGATGCATGTTAAGGCATCAATAAAAGTTATTAAATAAATAGTTTAAAAAAATATTGATGGAAAAATACATTTATATAGAAAAATAAATTCGATTTATTTCCCTGATTGTTGAATTCAAACAAGAAGCATCAAAGACATATAGTTAGTATTGTTTCAATTATTTGGTTAAAAAAAGGAGATATGTGTATTTTAATTTCCAAGATACTAAATTTAATTTGATAGTAACGTCTAGTTTAAAATATAATAAAACTGTGATGGCATCATGTAGATTTTATAATTATTTGTTTTTTATGAAAAATAAAATATGCTGAGATAAATATAACATTTTTTCCATCCAACTGGAGTTGTAAAAATATATATATATTTTTTTATTTCTTAAAGACATTTACAACTGTATTAAATAAATACATCTAGTAAATTAGTACATAATGTATATAATGACATGAAAAACACTTGCTGAGTAACTACCCAATGGTAGCACTCTAATGATATGTTTACATTAGGAGATCACGGGGCTATCTTCTTTTCAGACGCCTCGGAGGGTTATCAGGAATTGAAGAGGAAGAAAGGTTAGAAACGAGAGGGTTGGGATGATTCTGAAGTTTATTATGGAAGGATAGGTATCTGGATTGGGGCAGATCTGAAACATAAGAAACATTAAGGTCATTATGGATGGTTTTATTTGTAACAAAGTAGGGAGCATTGAGGATTTTACGAAGGATTTTGGATTGTTAGGATTGGATACGAGAGGAATTCGATGGTTTAGTGGAGCCCCAAAGCTCAATTCCGTAAGTCCAAATAGGTCTTAATATTGTTATATATACGGGTCGTTTATAATTGATTGAAAGCTTAGATCGTTTGTCTAGTAAGTGCTGCAGTAGTCGAAAACGTCGGGCGGTTTCTAGTCGTTCCAGTCTGGTATGGGGGTTCCAAGTGAGTCGTTTGTCAAGGTGGAGTCCTAAGTAGCGGATTTGCTCAACTGGAATAAGTGGAGTATTATTGAAGGATACTGTAGGACAAGAGGTCATAGGTTTACGACGGAGGGTAAAGGTGGTTTGATGGGATTTGTAGGAATTTATTTTTATTCTCCAATTTTTACACCATTCTTCAAGGCTTGTGATATGTGATTGAAGAGTTTGGGATGCAATTAAAGGATCGTTATTTCCTTTTAAAATATAAATTATTATTTTTAGAATAACATTCAAGTAATATATTAATGTAATTCAATCTGTGACTAAGTCGTCTTCGCCTAAGCTACACTAGCTTTTAGAAGGCGGGACATGCTTGAGGGAGAAGCAATGGGATCTCCTACTTTACTGATTATCCTTCTCGGATCAAGGTAAAATCTTTGGGCTTTTTTGGTGGTAATAACATAAGTAAATGTATCTATGTATATATACATACTTATGTTTATTGTGTTTATTTCACTTTTATAAAAAATTTTCTTGTTTATTTTTTACCTTTTTTCGCTTGACATTAGTTTTTCTTTTCTAGACTAAACTGTACTTAATAAACGGTTTATGCTGTAGTGTACTAAACAATCAATTACTGACTTCGAAAGATAAGTGATTAAAAGACATATCTTTTAAGATTATATAACCAATAGAAATAGTGAGAAAACTATACTGTTAGACATATTTTTATTCGTGTTTTGCCGAAAATAATTATTTTTCCACAATATAAAAATTCATCGGGTGAGAAGGGTGTGGGGATGTATTTTATATCTTCTTTATTATGCCCTAGGTCACATTGATGGAGGAAATGTGATATATTTCGAGTTATCAGATAGGCAGAAGAATATTGATAGAAATAAAATAGTGTGAAAAGTTAAACCGTATTGACATAGTAAGACGATGCAATATATTTGTGTATAAAAATCCTGTATCCTGTACTATATCACTTCTTTCTATGTTATGGTTTCATATATTTCATGCCGACTAATTCATAAATACTTGTATACGGCTATTAAACTTAAAAGTCCACTTTAAATGGTTTTAGCAATGACAAATTTACTTGCATTTAGAGTATTATCCTCAACTACAATGTTTTGATGAACGTAAGACATATCACAATATTTTACATTTATTTTAATGCCATGCCAATTATAATTGTTTTGTTTTCAAATACATAATGTTAAATATTTTCATATTTAAACTTTAAAATTTATTTACAGAAAAAAAGTAGTGATTTGGCGCTCGAATTAGAAAATGCTGTGGCTAACAACATCCCTTGCGAAATCATCACACCAGCAAATGAAGGAGCAAATGTCAATGGGTTGACTCAGTCCAATGAAGGCCTTGTTCACCTGGCCGTAAGGAGTGAAAGTATGTCTTCTATTGCTACGTTGGGATTCCTGAAGGCAGACCTTGACGTTCTCAACGCTGCTGGTGCGACTCCCATGGAAGAAGCTATTAAAATTGACAGCGTACCCTCTATCAAGGAACTGATATCGGCTGGTGCCAATATTGAGAAGCAGTTGTCGGTAACTCTTACCTCCATGTTGCTGCTTCTTCAGGCAAGAATGAAGCATTGCGGAAGTTACTTGAGGCAGGACTTAAATCCGAATTAAAGAACCACCTGGGCTATACTCCATTGCAGCTAGCTGTCAAAGCAGGGAATGTTGAGGGAGTGGAGATCCTGCAGAACACCACTAATGTTAGCATCATCTCATGGCCATTTAGATGTGGTGAAGCTTCTAATCGACCGAGGAGCTACTGTAAACGACAAGGACATGGACGGATGGACTGCACTACATCTTGCCGCAGGAAACGGTCAAGTAGTCGTGGTGACTTTACTGTTGGAACGTGGGGCAGGTCTAAGAGCTAAGTCAAATACAGGCAGGACACCACTAATTTTAGCATCATTTCATGGGCATTTAGATGTGGTGAAGCTTCTAATCGACCGAGGAACTCCTGTAAACGATAAGGACATGGACGGATGGACTGCACTACATCTTGCCGCAGAAAACGGTCAAGTAGTCGTGGTGACTTTACTGCTGGAACGTGGAGCAGATCTAACAGCTAAGTCAAATACAGGCAGGACACCACTAATGTTAGCATCTTATAATGGCCATTCGGGTGTGGTGAAGCTTCTAATCGACCGAGGAGCTCCTGTAAACGATAAGGACATGGACGGATGGACTGCACTACATCTTGCCGCAGAAAACGGTCAAGTAGTCGTGGTGACTTTACTGCTGGAACGTGGAGCAGATCTAACAGCTAAGTCAAATACAGGCAGGACACCACTAATGTTAGCATCTTATAATGGCCATTCGGGTGTGGTGAAGCTTCTAATCGACCGAGGAGCTCCTGTAAACGATAAGGACATGGACGGATGGACTGCACTACATCTTGCCGCAGAAAACGGTCAAGTAGTCGTGGTGACTTTACTGCTGGAACGTGGAGCAGATCTAACAGCTAAGTCAAATACAGGCAGGACACCACTAATGTTAGCATCTTATAATGGCCATTCGGGTGTGGTGAAGCTTCTAATCGACCGAGGAGCTCCTGTAAACGATAAGGACATGGACGGATGGACTGCACTACATCTTGCCGCAGAAAACGGTCAAGTAGTCGTGGTGACTTTACTGCTGGAACGTGGAGCAGATCTAACAGCTAAGTCAAATACAGGCAGGACACCACTAATGTTAGCATCTTATAATGGCCATTCGGATGTGGTAAAGCTTCTAATCGACCGAGGAGCGCCTATCGATGATAAGGATATTGGTGGATATACTGCTCTACATGACGCAGCAAGAAATGGGCACATTGGAGTAGTGAATTTATTGTTAGAACGTGGAGCAGATCTAAAAGCTAGGACACTATATAACGAGACACCATTAATTGTAGCTTCTAGTAAGGGCCATTTGGATGTAGTGAAGTTTCTTATTGATCGAGGAGCGCCTATCAACGACATGGATGTGACCGGATGGACTGCCTTACGATATTCAAAGAATTATGGAAAAAAGTCAAGTGATTACCTTGAATCAAAAGGTGGAATTGAGTAACTTTTAAATAGTCTGTGAACACTTCGAAGATTAAATTTTGAAATATTAATTTATTGTTCAACAAAACGCTGTTGTAAATTGTTTGACATTATTTCATTAAAATGAGATATATGTCTCTATTATAATATTGTATTGTATTTCTGAATATGTAAATAAATAAAACAAGGTTATGTAAATGTGTAAATGTTAAAAAACAATATTACAAGCAATATTGCACTGGTGCCTTTCTGGACATAGCGCAAGCTTTCGACCGGGTGTGGCACGATGGCTTGCTTTTCAAGCTCAAAATCCATTTACCCCAATCCTTATACCTAGTCCTCAAATCCTACCTCTCAAATCGTTCCTTCCAAGTCCGTTGCTGCACCGAATTCTCCACTTACTATCCAGTTGAGGCTGGTGTTCCACAAGGCAGTGTTTTGGGTCCAGTTCTCTACATCCTTTTCACTGCCGATATCCCTTCAAATCCCGATACCTTCCTAGCTACATTTGCTGATGATACTGCCATTCTATCCTCCCACTCAGATCCTCAAATAGTATCTCAAAACCTACAATATCACCTTTCCTTGATTGAGCAGTGGTGCAACAACTGGCGCATCAAAATCAATGAAGCAAAATGCAAACCTATTACTTTCATCCTGCGACGCAGATCCTGACCCACAATCCTTTTCAATTCAATACCACTTTCCTACTCAGATACAGTCCGTTACCTTGGCTTCCTTCTAGACAAAAGACTAACTTGGAACCCACATACGAGACTTAAAAGACAAGAACTTATCCAACGATATGGCCAGCTATATCTCAGCAGCAGCTATATACTAAGCAGGACATCTCATCTTTCGATTGAAAATAAACTTTTAATCTACAAGACCATACTGAAACCTATCTGGACCTACGGACTTGAACTGTGGGGAACTGCTAAACATTCGAATATCAAACGCATCCAATCCTTCCAGTCCAAAGTACTTAGAACAATAGTCAATGCCCCATACTATGTCACAAATAAGACCTTACACCATGACCTTAACATCCCATTTGTCCTCGACATCATCCCATCCAGATTCTCAAACTTTCACCAGAACCTTATCCATCATCCAAATCCTCTAGCTCAATCCGTATCCAGCAATTAAGACGAAAACTGTAACAAAAAAAAAAAAAACCTGGGGAGTCCACTAACACGACTTTCCCGCCTATTTCAGAAAAGTTTTTATATCTTTACATATGTCCATCAAGAAACAAAAAAAATTGAATTATATTTATTTTTATGAAAATTTATGAAAGACAAGATTTGAGTACGATTTATTTGGTAAATTAAAGCAATGTAAACCGGCTTGAGGTAGATCAGTGTAAAAATTTCAATATCCTCTACTACTGCTGATCAAAAACTTTTTGCCATAGCATAATTTTGTCAAATAATAATTTCTGTTAAAAGTAGAGGAAATAGTGAGGCTTGTGTGACGTGGGCAACTAATTTTTCTTACTTTCACTTAGTTATCTTTTTTCTCTCATTCATCCCTTTCTGACAACAAGATATGAACCCATAATCTAATATACGAAATTGAATAACTCTAACTTTGTTAATAATTGTGCGAAAGTATTTTTATATCAGGCGGGTGAAGTGGAAAGGGAAAAGAGGAATATATACGACAAATTCATCCCTTTCCTAAAAGAGAAATTCCGCGAGACCTTCGGAGAGAGAGAGTTCATCGTGAGAGGCCTTTGGTTTGGGTCTCCCGGAAAGAACAAGGAGCTTTCTCGAGGAACTAGGTGTTGATGTTGGGGAGCTCGCGGTATTGGCCGAAAATATTATTTTGGGCTCTCTGGGGATCATCCATTATCATATTTATACCGATTGAGGACATCTGGTAATAATTGTTTATTAAATTTTGAATTGATCCGCTGTCGTCCTGTCTTTTTGTCTACATTCTGGGAATTGATGTGTTATGTATGTGTGCAATGTTGTAATGAGTTCCTGGCGTTTGAAAATTTAAAGAGAATAACAGGTAAATATATTTTTTTTTTTTTGTCTTGGGAAAATGTTTATAGTGCTATGTATATTATTTAATATTGTTTTATTGTTGATAACCTGTAAGTGTATTGTTATGAGGGGGAGGAGAAAAAAAAGAGAAAGAAAGGAAAGATATGTCATATATATGTATAAAAAATAGAAAAATGAAATATAAAATTAATGTCCGTGTGGATTGATAGGTATGCTGTCTACGAAGCAACCCTATGTAGTAGGGCAGCATTACTTTTAATAAAGTATTTCTCTCTTTGTAGGGAATTTCATCACATCAAAAAAAATATATAAATTAAATAAAAATAAAAAAGCCTGTACCACTACAACTCATGAAGGTTTTTGGATTCATTTCTATTTAGGGAAAGGCCAGCGGTTGTGCAGGGAGGGATCGGGCCAGGATCACACTCAACTGCCAGATTTCCACCCTTAATCAATTATTTAATTATAGAAGCTGGGTACGCCCCAGGAGGATATTCCTATCCCAGGGTTGCCTCACGGCCAATGAAACAGAATAAATATTTTTTTTGCCTGGGAACTTGAGCATTGGAAGTTTAGTGGCCTAAAATGAATCTTCATGCTACGTTATTTGGTTAAAGTGCTTTATAATGAATGAAGATTACATTCCATGTCTGTGGATATTGTACAAAGATCAAATAAAAGTTAGTCGAACACTACGCGGTCATTCGGAATTGCATTCTGAGGCACTATTGATGTTCTGATTGATCGTGTAAGGTACTGATTGAAGTATAGCCCTGGAGCCAGGGCCCAAAAATCGACCTGATCGCAGGCGAAGGTTTGATTGTAAATTACGAAAGTGTATGTTATACTCAGTAAAAAAAACCTTGTCTGTCGTTCCAGAGCCGCCGCTTTCAAAAATGGCGGCTGATTTAAAGAATATTATAATAATAATTTGGAGATTGAAACGGGAAATCCATTGCGAAAAATGTGAGAAAAGCTTTTATTTTATTTTTTTAACTTTTACATATTATATAGTATGAATGGGCCTCACTCAGCTTTAGTACTCAGTGCCCTTAAATGTGGCAAAATGTATTATTTCTCAATAAAAAGATTAAAAAAAAAAAAAACTTTTACATATGTGTTTAGACATGTAAAAAACAAAATTGCTAACCCGAACCACCAAGGGAAAACTTTTTACAGGCAAAAAAGTCAGATTTTTTCGATATTTTTTGGGTTTTTCACCTATAACACCTAAACGATGCATCAAGGCGAAAAATGTGTTCTTTAATAAATTAAAGAACCTTAGATTTTGCGTCAAACGAGTACATAAACTTTAAAATTTGGCTACGGTAAGGTATAAAACTACGGTCAACCAACGCTGAGTTTTATCAAATTAGTCAAAAACTGAGACAAATTACTGTAAATGGCTATGTAACTTGTAAATGAGTTCCCTAAGAGGAAAAATCCATAGAATCAAAGTTGTAGAGCATCAAATTTTGCGTATACTGAGTACTACTGATATTTTTATTGTAGGCCACTAAATATGATAGTGGATGATCCCCAGGGTGTCCAAAATAATATTTTCGGCCAATACCGCGAGCTCACCAACATCAACACCTAGTTCCTCGAGAAAGCTCCTTGTTCTCCGGGATCGTTCCGCGAGACCCAAACCAGAGGCCTCTCACGGTGAACTCTCTTTTAGAAAAGGGATGAATTTGTCGTATATATTGCTCTTTTCCCTTTCCACTTCACCCACCTGATATAAAAATAATTTCGCACAATTATTAACAAAGTTAGAGTTATTCAATTTCGTATGTTAGATTATGGGTTCATATCTTGGTGTCAGAAAGGGATGAATGAGAGAAAAAAGATAACTAAGTGAAAGTAAGAAAAATTAGTTGCCCACGTCACATAAGCCTCATTATTTCCTCTACTTTTAACAGAAATTATTATTTGACAAAATTATGCTATGGCAAAAAGTATTAAGGTCCGAGGCCATCTTCTTTTCAGACGCCTCGGAGGGTTATCAGGGATCGAGGAGGAAGCAAGGTTTGAAACGAGAGGATTCGGATGGTTCTGCAGTTTGTTATGGAAGGAGAGGTATCTGGATTGGGCCAAATCGGAAACATGTGGAACATTAAGATCTTTATGGATGATTTTATTTGTGACAAAGTAAGGAGCGTTGAGGATTTTACGAAGGATTTTGGATTGTAAGGATTGGATACGAGAGGAATTCGATGGTTTTTTTTTCGAACTATTTAATTTTTTTTAAGTCTTTCCATAAAGACACAGTACATTTTGCCACACTTGAGGGCCATGAGTATCAGAGTTATGTCAGACACATTCATACAAAATATACAAACCAATATAAAAAAAAAATTAAGACGAAAACTGTAACAAAAAAAAAACCTGGTGAGTCTACTGACACGACTTTCCTGCCTATTTCAGAAAAGTGTTTATATCTTTACATATGTCCATCAAGAAACAAAAAAAATTGAATTATATTTATTTTCATGAAAATTTATGAAAGACAAGATTTGAGTACGATTTATTTGATAAATTAAAGCAATGTAAACCGGTTTGAGGTAGATCAGTGTAAAAATTTCAATATCCTCTAATAAACCCTCCGAGACGTCTGAAAAGAAGATGGCCTCGGGATCTTCTAATATAGAACTTTAATTTGAGTTCTACCAATGGGTAGTTTCTCTTCATGTTGTTACATGTCATGTTACCAATTTCACATTTACTTATTGTATTTTCTTTGTAATACAGTTGTAAATTCCATTAAAATAATAATTTAAAAAAAAATTGTTGAATTTCATTACGAAGATCAGCCATTCAAAGTGATCACTGTATATAAAATTCTTGTTGTCACTTGAACCTATACATGTTCTTATATACACTAAGTCAGTATACAAGGTTTTTAAATTCTAAGGACTAATTACAAGTAAGTAATATCTTTTTTAAAATTTGTAAGTACGATTCGCAAATTAATATAGCTGACTAAATCGCCAGTAAATTAACA